TCACTCTACCGAGGGCCGGATGTCTCAAAAAGAGACTTCCTTAACCGATTTCAACCTTAACGAAAATCGAAAAGCTCCCTCGAACCCCGAAATAATGCTCAGGGTCACTCTCAAGTGCCAAAAGGCTTCCAAGAGAGTGGAGGCGTGTGAAAGGTGTGAAAAAACAAAGAAATGGCGCTCCTATTTATGGGGATTCGAGCGTGGAAAAGGTGGACGACTGTCTGGACAAAGCGGACAACCGTCCATTGCAAAAAATTAGGGTGGACGGCCGTCTGGTCATCATGGGCGGCCGTCCAGGGCTCAAAAACAGGGTGGATGGCCGTCTGGTTGTCATGGATGGCCGTCTGGACACTCTGGACGACAATCTGCTTGTTCTGGACAGCCATCTGTTGTCCTAGACGGCCATCTGTTGTCCTGGATGGCCATCTGCTATCCTAGACGTCCATCTACTTATCCTGGATGGCCATCTGCTATCTCCGACGGATTTCCCGATTTTTAATGCCTCTAAAAACCTTTCCTATCCTAAATGGAACCTAGAACAAGCTACTAGGGACTTAATAAAGTCTTAACCATCTTCGAAACGGGCGATCTTCAGATTTATTAGGGGGCCGGGCAAGACTTGGGGTCTACAGCCATCTGTTGATATTTACGAACGGTTGCGATGGATGACTAAACTCATGTGTTTTTGTAAAATTATGTAGTCAACATTCTTAAGATACCCGATAACCGGATTGACCTTAAGAATGAGGTTTTCGTAAATGCGTTCTATGGAGTCGCCAGCAGTGTTTTAACCTTAAACACTGTAAAAGGGTAAAAAGGCGTTGGTTTGGAAAAACTCACTTTGGTCGTTACAGCCAGAGTCGGGTAAGGGAGTTAGTTACGAGTGGGGAAGGTGTTAGCATCCCACAACGCCCATTTCGGGTTCTCTATGATGGACTAATTCATAAAATAAAGACTGAAAGAAACTATGCTTTTACTTTATTTATTTATCTACTGACAGAATTTAAATGTCTACATAATTATAATATCTAATGCATACAAGGAAAGCAATAAAAGAAAGCAGTAAAAGAGAAGAGATATGAAGGAGAACCTCTGAAGCGAGCTTTTATAAATCTTGAACTTGAGGACGCTTTTTGGCAGTCCCCGCACTCTACAGAGACACTCCTCCCTCGAACAAAAAATAAAATACCACACCACCGAACGCTGGATGTCTCAAAAGGAGACTTGCTTAACCGATTTCTACCTTAAATGGAAATCGGAAAGCTCACTCAGACTCTGGAATAATTCTCATAGTCACTCTCAAGTGCCAAAAGGCTTCCTAGAGAGTGTAGGAGTGGAAAGGTGTGTGAAATGAGGGGGGGAGGCTCCTATTTATAGGAATTCACGTCAGGCAGGTCGGGACGGTTGTCTGGGCTTTTGACAGATGAGACGATCGTCTGGGATATTGAGACGGTCATCTCTGGCTCAAAGAAAGGCGAGACGTCCGTCTCGACCTTCAGGGAAGGTGAGACAGTCATCTGACCAAACGAGACGACCGTCTCGACCTTCAGGGAAAGTGAGACGGCCGTCTGGCCAAACGGGACGGTCGTCTCGAGCCTCCTATTAGTGTTTTCCTATTTTTTTTCTTATTTTTTGTGTACAGAAAGCCCTCTTATCCTTACATGGATCCTAGTGAACATGTCTAGGAGCCTAAAGAAGCCTTGTCCATCTTCGAACGGAGGTTTTCTAGTCTTTATTGAGAAGTCGGGCAAGATTTGGGGTCTACACCTTGAAACATCCATCTGAATATCATTTTGTCTTTAGGATTGATCTTATTGACGGTTTGATTGTTGAATATGTCCCAAAACTTCTTAATTATGATGTTGAAACTATATTTGATGAGAAAAATTTTCAAAATCATGCTTTTTGTGCTTCAAGCACTAAGCATAAGCTGAATCCACTTAGCAAACATCTTGAAGTAACATACTAAGTGCCAAGTCTCGACAAAAGTGTTAAGCGGAAGCTTAATTTGCTCAGCAGACTAAAAAGCTCTGAGCGGAAGTTGAATCCACTCAACGAATGTACTCCAGTAGCAAGCGTTGAGAAGCTGATTTTCTCCAAAACAGAAACCTCGGTCCGATGAAACCGCTGAGCAAAATTTGAATCTAATGAGTGGATTAGGGTTAGAGAACAAAAAAAATAAATTTTTTTCTTTAATTGTTTCAATTTTTTTCCTTTTATCCTTTCAATTTCTTTTCTTTTTTCCTTTCATTTTTTTCTTTTATTCTTTGATTTCTTTTTATAATTCTTTGATTCTTTTTAATTTTATTTTAAATCTTTTACTGTTTTGATTATATTTTTTTAATCTAACTTCATTTTTTCTAATCTAATTTTATGATTTAGTTGTGCACAATACAAGTTTTCAAGAAAGAAATATTTGAATCCTAAGCTTCTTCTCTCTTTTAATTTTTTTCATTGATCTTTATTGTTTCAATTTTTAATTTACTGCATTTTCATATTCCTCATCAAATTTATTATATATTTACATTGAGGACAATGATAAATTTAAGTATGGAGTAATAGGATGATTCTTATTTGCTATTTTTTAAAAATTTATGCATTTTGTTAATAATTTAAATTTTAATTAATAGTTAATTATTTAGATTAATATCATTTTCATTTTAATATATTATATGATATCTTTATTTCTTTTATATAATTTTTGATCAAGTTTAAAATATAACTTAATTAGATAGAAATATAAGTCATGTGAGTTTTTAGCCTAATTATTTTTAGTTGTTTATCTTTTATTTCGTTTGAAAATTTATTTGAAAATTCTATAGGCCTTTAAATTATAATAATAATAATATTTTGATAAATTTTATATCCTAAAATATTTCGTTTCCTGAAAAAGCATATTGTAAAATAATAATAATCATAATCATAAAAAATGTAAAACATATTGATTTTGAACTCATTTATACAATGTTTAATCATGATCTAATTCAAAGTTATATATGGATTGGATACAATTTTCAATTTATTTGTAATATCAACATATAATAAAACAACATCCATCTTAAAGAGTATAATTCATCTTTTAAGACTATAATATCATTGGAAATTCAATTATATAATAATAATAATAATAATAATAATAATAATAATAATAATAATAATAATAATAATAATAATAATAATATATACATAATTGAATTTAGTTAAACTGGTGTAACCTAGTCTTTACATATTTACATTATTATTATTATTATTATTATTATTATTATTATTATTATTATTATTATTATTATTTAATAATATTGAACTTATGAATTAAATTGAACTCAAATTTTAAACAAATAAAATTCGTTACTGATCCATAAAAATTGAATTATATTGAGATAGATAAGATTTACCACAATCACATAAATTTAATCTATTTAAGTTGAATTGTGTGTATTGTCCATTTGTCTTACGAAATAATTTATGAAAATCTCACCATAGTTCAAATCAAATTTCAGACAAAAAGAAAAAACAAGAAAGGTAAAAACGAAGTTATATTTATATGAAGATATTTCACAAATGATTCTCATAAGAAAATTAAGCTTAAAGTCACCCACCGAAATTTAAGTTTATTTGCAAGAAGAATATGAAGTATTCACAAAGAGAGACAAAAAGGTTTTGAAAGAAAAAACCCTAACAACCAACCAGACTATCATCATTGTTAGGAAACAAGACTTCAAGAAACAACGATTGCTCGAGAAGAATTACTAGAGATGAAGGAAATGTTATAGCAAATGCGCCTTGAGAAGGAAAAGGCTAAAAAGATCTTAAAGGTCAAAGACGAAATTTTCAAGCAAAAAGATGAAAAACTTAAGAAATGTAATGTTTTCACATTACATTTTGTGGAAAAAAGATCAATGGAAGATGAAGAAAACAATTTTCAACATGTTAGGGTCTACATGGAAGACTGTTAATACAAAAAAATAAAAATAAAAACTTGTGAGAGAAATATCATGTTAAGAAAAAAAGTTTGTTTGCAATTGATTGCAAAAGAACATGATGTAGAATCAACAAAATTGAATGAAGTAATAATCACATACAAGAATGACAAAAATTACAAGCAAAAGAAGAAGAAAACATGAATAGAAAGAAAAATATTTAATTCAAATAAACAGATATTAAGAGATGTTATTATCTTTTAATGAAAGAAAATAAGAAAATATTACATTTGTTAAAGGTTCCAACATAAAACCAATTGACAATATGTGGAGTAGCTTAACATGTATTTAAACCATACTAAATGACATGAGATAGGCGACGTGAGACTTTCAATACGCCCTCGAACGAAGCCTGCCGGACCAGGCAAAGGTTACTTTTGACTCAACTAAAGGGCAACTTTTGACCCATGACAATAACCGGAAAAATATTAGATTTTAGTTCTAATACCATATTAAGATTCCAACTTATCATACCAAATGACATGAGGTAGGCGATGTGAGACTTTCAACAATATTATTATTTTGATTTAAGTAAATATAATTAAAATATTATTAATATTTAATATTTTATCATACTTTTATTTTATATATAAATAAAATATATATTCATAAGAAATATATTTTATATATCAAAAATACATATACATAAAACTCTAAAAGTTTCCATGAATTTAGTCCTATTTTATCATAAACAATTTAGTCATACCAAATGAAAAACGTACATCAATGTACCCAACCCATTCCGTATCATCAAAGATCTCAATTCCAGTGGTACCAACTCAAGTGTTATGAGTAAATTAATAATCTCAATAATTGATATATGTAGTAACTCAAAACTTCTAATCCAAAACAAAAAAATAATCCAACCCTTTTTACAATGCCTATCCTCAGTATGAAAGTCCTGTCCCTTAAAATCTAAAATGTAACCCCCAATAATCTTCTCTACCAAAGGCCCATGAATCACCGAAGTAGTACATGCTGGATAAAGGCAAGTGCACCATAGTTCATTTGATTAAAGAACTACCTACTTCTCACTGAAGGTTGCTTTACAGGGGTCAATTTGCGAAATGCAGCATGAAGTATCACGCCTACATAGATTATTTTTATAACTTATTAACCTGTTGAGGAAATGGAAGGGAGGAACAACTTAGGAATAAAAGTATTTCAGTAGAAAGACTAACCTGCATAGCTGACACATATGGCACAAAAGAGAGCCATTTGAACATTGGAAAATATCAGAATAACTGCAGTTACTACAAAAGATGAGATTGAGAAACAAAGTTCAATTAACCTTGTCCATATCAAATTCGTAGATTTTTTTTTTCTAACATCAAAAGCAATATGCTATAAAGAACAATCTGTTCACGCACATGAGCTTAGTAGAAAACATTTCTACATAAAACTGCGCAGCCAAGTACATAAAATATTCAAAATTTTCTATTCATGCATATAGGAAGGTGCGTAAATTTCTTAATATTTATTGGTGCGGATGATAGATTATGCATTGTGTAAAACAACAGCTCAAGCAAAGTTCAAGCAACACATGTATTTTACTGGTGGTTCTAGGGGTGTTGTTAGTATGCCACTCAAGAAACTACTTACTTTCAATAGGATTGAACACTGATGAATATATAAAAAATAGAGTTTGAGATTAATCTCCCTTGTGTATAAACCATACATAGGATAATTTATTTATAATAAAAAGAGATACAACTAAAAAAGTAACTGAAAGTAACAAAATAAACAGAAGATATTGTTTGATATTGTGGTTAGCAATATCTTAACAATATCAAACAATATCTAAACAATATCTAACATTCTTCCTCAAGCTGGAGCATATAAATTATATGTGTTAAGTTTGTTACAAATATAATCAATTCTAAGCTCTCTTAAAGACTTAGCAAAAATATCTGCTAATTGATCACTTGAATTAACAAACTCAGTCTTAATGTCTCCAGACATAATCTTTTCTCGAATGAAATGACAATCAATCTCAATGTGTTTGGTCTTCTCATGAAAGACAGGATTATAGCTAATATGAAGAGCAGCCTGATTGTCACAAGTATCATTTGAGTGACATCTCCAAATTGTAACTCTCTAAACAATTGTTTGATCCAAACAAGTTCACAGGCAGTTGAGGTCATAGCTCTGTATTTTGCACCTGCATTGGATCTTACCACAACACTTTGTTTCTTACTTTTCCATGAGATCAAGTTACCACCAATGGAGACACAATATCCAGATGTAGATCTTCTATCCGAAGGAAATCCTATCCAATCAGCATCTGAGTAGTAAACAACTCTTGTATGAATATTAGAACCATATAACAATCATTTTTCCAGGAGATCCTTTAATATATTTCAAGATACGAATGACTGCATTCCAATGATCTTCACATGGGGAATTAAGAAATTAGCTTACCACACTGACTGCAAAGAAAATGTCAGGACGAGTAACTATAAGATAATTCAATTTTCCAATCAATCTTCTATATTGCTCAGGATCAAGTATAGGTTCCCCCTGATTTGGTAGAAGCTTAGTGTTGGGATCCATGGGTGTATCAACAGACTTTGAACTCACCAACCCAATTTCCTCCAAAATATCCATGGCATACTTCTTCTGAGATATAATAATACCATCATTGGACTGTATCACCTCAATACCCAAAAAATATCTAAGTTTGTCAAGATCTTTGGTCTAAAAATGGTGATAGAGATGTCATGATTGTCACTACCTGTAAGAACAATGTCATCAACATATACTATCAAGTAAACACATCCAGCACTCGAGTGTCAATAAAAGACAAAATGATCTACTTCACATCGAGTCATACCAAATTGTTGAACAACCTTGCTAAACTTTTCAAACCAGGCCCTAGGAGACTGTTTAAGGCCATATAGGAATTTGCAAAGACAACATACCATCCCAGAAGACTCCCCCTGAGCAACAAACTCAGGGGGTTGCTCCATATAGTTATCTTCTTGCAAATCATCATTAAGGAAAATATTTTTAACATCCAATTGATAAAGAGGTCATTGTTGAAGAGCGGTCATGGCAATAAATAAACAAACAGAAGTTATCTTTGTTATGGGGAAAAAGGTATCTCCATAATCCAACCTCAAAATTTGAGTATAACCTTTGGCCACAAAACAAGCTTTGAGGCGATCAATAGTACCATCAAGTCCAACTTTGATAGCAAACACCCACCTGCAACCAATAACATATTTCCTAGATAGTAACGGGACCAATTCTCAAGTTCTACTATTATGAATAGCACTTAGTTCATCTAACATGACCTAACGCCAACCAAGATGGGCTAAAACTTCATGGACAGTTTTTGAAATGATCACAAAAGAAATAGAGGAAAGACATGTATAAAAAGATAATGACAGTCAATGATAACTCAAAGCAATATAATGGGGAAAGGGATTACGTGTAGAACGAATACTTTTTCGGAGGGCAAAGAGAAAGTCAGACTCAAGTATCAAATTCGGAGGAGATAGAGTAGTTGGCACTTGAGTGGAGTCACATGGTGGTAGTTGTGATTGATTTCGGCAACTATAAACCTGAAGAGGCGATGAAGAAGAAGCTGACTACGGAGCAGGAACTAATGGTGAAGAAGACACAGTTAAAGGGTCACAAACAACAGGAATATTAAATATACTAGAAGTATTGACAAGATGGGATGGAGACAAAGGTGAAGATTGACTTTTAAAATAAAGAGAGAATTCATCAAAGATGACATCTACAGACACAAAATAATGGTTAAGAGAAGGAGAAAAATATTTATATCATTTTTGTGATCTTGTAAACCCTAAGAAAACACATTTATGTGATTTAGGAGAAAGTTTGTCAAAACCATAACTGAAATTATGAACAAAACATGTAGACCCGAAAACTCTTAGAGGTAAGGGATGAAGTGGTTCATGAGGGAATAAAATGGAATGAGATATTTTATTATCTAAAATCAAAGAAGACATGCGATTAACGAGATAACATGCAGTAAGAAGAGCATCACCCCAAAAATGTTGAGGAATCTCTCCATGAATTAAAAGAGTGCGAGTTATTTCAATAAGATGTCTATTTTTACATTCAGTTACATCATTTTGTTGAGGTGTATAAGCACAAGAAGTTTGATGCAAAATATTGTGAGAAGCCAATAATTGTTTAAAAGAATGAGAAAGATATTCACGATCATTATCACTGCGCAAAACTCTAATAGAAACACCGAACTGAGTTTGTATCACATTAAAAAAATATTGAAAGATATGAAATACTTCAAAACGATTTTTCATTAAAAATAATCACGTACACCTAGAATAATCATCAATGAAAGTAACAAAGTATTGAAAACCTAAAATAGACTTAACGCGACTAGGTCCCCAAATGTTAGAATGAACCACGACAAAAGAGGACGAAGCACCACATGTGACACTACGAGGAAAGAAAGTACGACTATGTTTGCCTAATTGATACGACTCACATGCCAAACTAGACAACTTAGACAAGGCAGGGACAAGCTGCTGTAATTTGGCATGATCTAACTGAGCATGAAGAAGAGAGAGACTCCATAACTGCACCAACATGTGTAGAGGGACGAAGATGATAAAGACCATGAGACTCACGTCCTGTGCCAATCACCTATTTCGAACTCCGGTCCTGTAAACACACAGAATTATTGGTAAAAAAAAACAACACAATTAAGAGAACAAGTTAGACAACTGATGGATAACAGGTTAAAAGGAGATCAGGGACATAAAGAACATTATCAATGGTTAAAGAAGAGAAAAGTTTAACAGTTTCAACACCATGAGATGATACTCTAGAGTCATCAGCCAGCATAACAAAAGGTAAATGATTAGGAGAGGATAAAGAGGAGAATAAAAATTTGTTACCAGTAATATGATCAGTGGCTCCTGAATCAAAAACCCAAGGACCAGAAGAAGAAGATTGGGTCAGACCAGCAAAAGATGTACTTGTGTGTGCGACAGACACAATGGAACTAAAAGACTGTTGATCCTTATACCATTTGAGAAATTTGTTGAACATAACAGGTGTGTTGGATGAAATAGAAGAAGGAGAATCCCTAGTAAGGAAAGATTAGTCTGAACGACTACAGTAGATCGATGAGGACGACCATGTAATGCATAACACTTGTCAATCTTGTGACCTAGCTTGCCACAATGTTCACACTCATGTAATGCATAACACTGGTCAATCTTGTGACCTAGCTTGCTACAATGTTCACACTTAAGACGTCATTTTCCCTGTTTGCGAGGACAAGTTCGGTCATCACGGTGAGATACCAATGCAGAAGAATCATTAACAGAAACAGGTGTGTTAGGATTGGGTTTTGCTAGTACACGCAAAAGAGTAGAGCAGGTCGAAGTCAAGGTGGGGACAACCGGAAAACCCAAAATCTGATCACGGATATATGAATATTGATCAGCAAGTCCGTGTAATGTCCCTAGCATGAGGAACTTTGATCGTTGTGCTATCTCGGTGGCAGGGTCGAGGGAAGGAGGCAATAACTCATTGAACTTATGAAAAAGAGCATGAATTTTGCCCATAAAATCAATCATACAATCTTGATGTTTAAAGGCAATAACATCTACAAATTTATAACAAACACCATAGAGAAATTGAGTATCATTGGTATATAATAACTTGGCATGTTCCCAAATTTTGGCACACGTTTTGTAAGAACGAAAAATTTGTTTTAACGAAGGATCAAGAGTACCCTTGAGAACCACATATAATTGAGCATCAATGGTGTCCCAACGGTCTTCCTAATCAAGAGTGAGAGTAGGTGCTTTCGGGGCAAGATGATCAAGACACTTTTGACTCTTAAGCGATAATCTGATGTCTGATGACCATATGGCATAATTAGGGCTAGTTAACTTGTCAATGGATAAGTGCACATTAATATAGTGTAGATGGAAGGATCAGAGGCAATACTAACAAAATTGAAAGTACTAAAAGGAGCGAAAGAAGTCATAAAGGGCAAAGGCGGCGGTGACAGCGGCATGAACCAGTACACCAGGTAAGTTCCCAGAAAAGATAGGTGCGTCACTAATGGACACGCTTAAATACCAAGTCTTTCTTTGTCAAAACTTTCCTAGACATGTACTTTCACACTACCAAATAATATCCAGTAACAAAAATAATTTTTTTTTTATGTGGAAGATCAGATTAACCGACAGCGGCGGCGGTGGCGACTCCAGTAGTGGACAAAGGCGAAAAAATTTTAAAATAACCTTAAGCTCTAGATAGCATATTGAATATAGAGAAAATAGAGTTTGAGATTAATCTCCCTTGTGTATAAACCACACATGAGGTAATCTATTTATAATAGAAGTACAACTAAAAGAGTAACTGAAAGTAACAGAATAAACAGAATATATTGTTTGATATTGTAGTTAATAATATCTTAACAATATCAAACAATATCTAAACAATATTTAATAAACACAATATAATATATTGAATAAGAGAAAAATAATTTTGAAGACTAAATCTATACGTCTTATGTATTTTCAATAGGATTGAGCACAAAAGTCTTAAAATGTTGTTTTCAACATGTATTTAATCCTCAATAACCTATATTCCTCTTTAAGGCAAACCTCTATTATGCAGTTACTTAGGTAGAAATTCAATTCAAATAAAAAAGTAACACCAAAAACATTAAAAGTGGCATGTTAGATTCCCGTCTCCCTCGATAAACTACATATAAGTTTTGTCTCTATAAAATAAAACTTTATTATTAGATTATCTAGATAAAACTTCAAACATGATTGTAAAAAAATACCAGAAATATTTAAGGACTTCAATTCATATTGAAAAACAACAATGGCAACATTTCAGAAAGTGCATCTAAGCTTTGTCCCAATAAAAAAAACAATTCATACTCTTAAGTACTAAAACATAAGAAAAAAAAAAAAATCTTATCTGTAGGAAATGACTGCTCACCACATTGGGCAACACGAATCAAACACTGGCGAGTTAAGGGATACTGCTCCAATCCCCATCTGTGGCTACAAAATTTGAAGAAATCCCACAATGCCAAACACAATATCAACCCAACAAGAGCAACCGGCATCTTATACCTGCAGCCGTAACAACCAAAACACACACAGTTCCATTACACCAAATAGCAAGGCGTAATCAAGCTAGCATAACATCAAAGTTCTGTTTCCATGAGTGTTTACAGAAGAAAAAATAAGGAGGCAAAATGATTCAGCTTCTCTAGTAAGTGAAAATCAACCTATACACCTCAGCTCATGTTAAAGTTATATGATATATTTTTTATAAAAATCATGACCTGTTTGAATAAACCATTACATATGCAGGAAAAAAGAAAAAGAAAAACTTATTTTATGAACTACAAACAATTTATACAGAAGTTAAAGAGAAAAACAGGTTATGCATTGACAGTGTAAGGCAATTTTATACAGTCAACTAATTTAATTACAAACCACCGTATACGACAATTTCATCGATTTTTATATTAACTAACTAAAATAATGATACCAAAGATAATTTCTAGATGGTTGACTGTTTTTTTTATAGTGACAATATATAGCCATTAAACTAAATCAACTTTTTGGAAATGTTAAAAGAGAGAAAATTCTTCAAAAATTTAATTTTAAGTTATGCAAAAGCTAAATTAGCTTATGAGTGAAAACTATTTCATTTTACCCTCCTAGTTTTTTTTTTCCTGTACATGTGGCCTTTATGTTGACATTAACTTAAAAAGTCAATTTATTTTTCCTAGAGAGAAATTTATCTAACCAAGAACATTCACAAATTGAAAAGCCTAGGTTCACCAAAAAATCATAGAATCTCCACTTCAAATTTGGAAATTCAAGAACCTAATTTCACTAAACAGACCACAGATTCTCCAATTAAACCAAAAACCTTGAAATTAGCCAAGAGTGGAGAGGCGTGAGAGAGAGCGTACAGAGTGCAGGCAAAGAAAAGGATGAAGAGATACGCGTAGTTGCGGGCATAGCGCTTGACGTTTTCCTGAACCCTGAGGCGCGCCTGGGAGGGGGAGGAAGGGAAGGAGTAGGAGTTAGAGAAACCGAAGAAGGAACGGGACCAGGATGGTGTGTCGGCGGCGAAGTCATCGGCGGCGAGCTTGGCGAAGGGATTGAGAGTGAAGATGGAGAGGAAGGTGAGGAGGCGGGAGAAGAGACTTCCGGCGGCGGAGGAGGTGGAGGGGGAGGCGGCAGAGGAGGAGGAGGTACGGTGGTCGAGGATTTCGAGGTAACCGGTGTCGCGGAGCCACGACTCGAAGGCGGGTTCCGGAACGCTGAGAGCTAAAGGGTTGGAAGAGAACATCATCGCTTCGCTGCACTGTTCTCTAAATCCATAAGCACATGGCTCTGACTAACTAACTTCGAAGCATTGAGTTAAGTTTTTTTTTTGTTAATAAATGTTATTAACACTTTTTATCACTCTCTTTTTAATGCATTTTTCATTACAAATTACTAGAATAATAGATTTAGCTTTTTATTCTAAGAATGTCTCTTGATTTTATTCCATCCATTTAAATAAAATAGAGTTTAAAATCTATACGCATAAATTATTATAAAATTATTATTAGGATTGTGTTTTTAATTTATTCTTTTACTAAATATTTATAATTTTATTGTAACATAGAAAGTTAATTATTAGTTTTCCCTCTTTTATAGATAATCTAATAGATATTAGTTAATTATTTTATATGTGCAAATTTATTTAATGGAAAGAAACCTATTAAGAAATCACAATTATCCTTTACATAATTGTAACTTTGAGTTTTATTCTCGTATAAATTTTGTATATAAAATATAATTTAAGGTATTTTTATATATAGTCATTTTCCTAATGCATGTCTAATGTATCGCATCATAACTAAAAAATGACTAATTTTATATATTGAATATGAATCAATTTTCATCACATCATGAATGGATGCATGACTCTTAATTTCAATCCATCCAGACATTTCTTGGTTTTATACAATACCTATCAACACCAACAACAATTGTTGTATAAAATATTTTCCAGCATGACAATGAACAAATTCAAGATAGTTAATAAGGTGAAAGTAATTAAGAACAAAATAATTTGCCTAAAAAAAGAAAATATATGAACTATTATATATCTTTAAACTTTTATTATAACATTTATTTAATATTTAACTTTGTTGTTTATATATATGACTTTTATTATGGTTTTGGTTTATTAACTATTTTTTAAAATTATGTTCTAAACTTGTGTTAAAAACTTGTTATAAATATCATGTGTCAAAAACTTGTATAAAATATTGCATTTGATATTATAAATATATATATATATATATATATATATATATATATATATATTATTATGTATAATATATGTGATGTGAATGTTTAAGTATATATGAATAAAATCTAATTGAAATTTTGTAAAAAAAATGAGATAAACTTATATTAACAATGTCAATACCTACAAATATATCAATAGATAATTACTTACAGATATAACACTACATAATTACCCAACGATATATCCATCTAATACCTAGACATTTAATACGGATAATGCAATATAAAATTACCTACAATATTTTTTCTGATCGAATTTTGTTCGTTGCAAATCCGGAAAAAATATCCCTATGTCTATTGATTTTTTGTATTAACTACCTATTTAGTCCTTATATAATATCACTTTTTCTTGTAGTGATATATCAAATCCATATAATTTTCAAAATATTAAAACTATAACATCTCATTTTACTCCCATTATATTTGCATTCCAGCAATTTCAAAGGAAAAATAACCAGTCCACAGGTAAGATAATAGGAATATAATTATTTAAAACTACCAATTCATTGAATAATATTTTAATTAAAGAGATTTTGGACTAACATAAATGAGTTTTTAGATACGCTAAATAAACTAAGTTAATTTATTAAATTCTCCCTGAATTTAATTTAGGGAGAAACTTCATTAAAACAATATATTATTTGAAAATGCAATAGATTTTTATCTGTAGATATTATCCAATTCTACACAAAAAGAGTTGCTTCCACTGGGTGAATGTATCACTATCAAATGGAATATGGATCATAACCGTAATAAAATCTGATATAGATTTTGACCTTCACTTCCTTTTTTTTTTCCATGTGACACTATATCTACATAATCTTTTTGATTTCCAAGAGATCAACCTCACTCTTCTCTTTAACTGCTTCCGCTATGATCTACTAATGCAAAAATTTGTTATGTTACAACTTGCAAATAATAATCAAGGAATCTATATACTCCTTTGTATAGATAGCATTTAGTGGCAACAGAAGCTAATCTTAAACAAAGGTTCTGTCACCTCATGCTCAGCAAACTTTGTATCATTGGTGTAACGGCCAACAACTACACCATCTCCAGAATTTTGACATTCCCTGTGGAATTTGCGGCGAGCAAGGTGGATGACTGACCCCGCCAACAGACTGACGACACGAATTGGGCAGCATCATCCACTTCATGACCAGAAAGAGGATCTGTGTTCTGAAACTTGAATGACAATGCTGGCATGGGGAAGGCTTTGTGGTATATGAACACCTGATAAGGTTAACTTCGTTAGTTCTGTAAAATCAACAGGAAAACTGATAGGTAAGGACATATGTATGAAGTACCTCATTTGTCTCTGAACCAGTGGCAATATAACCATCGGATACTGATAATCCCACAAAGTTCTGCAACAAAGGGAAAATGCATCAGCAGGATAATATACACTGCCTCAAAACTGAAAAAAGTGACAAAAAAATGTATGGAAATTAACAATAAATGGCCTTTTCTTTGAATATAACTTCTCACGCATAGTCAAACACAGGATCAATTAATTTGAGCAGGGTATGGATCTCAAACGAAAAGAACAAGATATGCTACACCATGAACAAGAAGGATTAATGCAAAAGTCTTCATATTTCAAAAAGAAACAGTGAATGCCATTTGTCAGAATGACCATAATAACATTCAAGTGACTATTGGTTTCATTATTTATATAAAAATCCCTATTTATTTATCATCTGTATGGATGACCATAATAGAAACAAACACTTGGCAATTATGACTGAAAAAAAACACAGGAGAGTAAATATACAAGTTACTTTTGGCAGAAGTTATACCTTAACATTCACGTGACCTGTGAATGATTGAATTGGTGAGTCAATAACACGAGATGCACATGTAGACAAATCCCAAAGCTTTAAAGTGTTATCTGTGGAAGCTGAGACAAGGTTCACAGTGTCTACAAACTTGATGTAGCTGACAGTCTTGTTATGTCCAACCAAAGTACACAGCGGCATCTTTAGGTTGCGAAGATCATAATAATATATTCGATGATCTGCTGAACCGAAAGCAAGGAAACGAGAAGAATCCAGAGGGAACTGCACACAGCATACATTTGCCTTGGTTTTGATGGTACCAACACTAACTCCCTGCAGAAACATTCCAGGTGAGAGAAACAACTCATTATACATCCAGCATAATATACATGAAACATGCAACAGATGACTGCAGTACGTTTAGTTTCAAAGCTGACATCCACCAAGTGCAAAAATGGAATTGCCTGATTGATACTCCATAGCTTGACAGAACCATCATCGCTCCCACTTGCCAACATTGTTGGGTCTGCTGACGAGAAATCAATGGACCACACCCTCCGTTCATGCTCCCTCATTTCAGAGAGTACTTGACTTCTTGTCACATCCCATAACTGAATGAGAAGATAAGTTACAATATTGTTGTAAATACCATAAACAATTCATTGATGGCAATGGACTTACCTGTACAACTCCTTCAAAGTTACTTGAAGCAATTTGACTTTTGATGTATGTATTCCAACATATACTGCTTAACTTTGACCTGCTAGCCATCTCCACTACTGGATAGTGGATATCACGATCCTCATTTATGATTGAATCACATTCAAACACTTTAATTTTCTTATTGACACCGGCAGTAGCAAAAAATTCTCCATCACGATCAAAACTGAGTGAGCATACTAGGTTGGATGAATGCAAAAGATCCCCTTGCTTTAGGTCAGCCTTAACCTTTATCTTACTGAATGATAAATACTTGCACAAACCCTCAAGAAAAGGATTTATCCAAGCACTTGCACCCTCCCTGCACTGCTCTTTTGGTTTCAAGTCATTGATGCAACTTCTTTCCGTCAAAACAACAGACCCTCTACCATCACTTGTTACAGGAGGATGCCTAGTCACTGGTTTTGCAGAGGAATAGGCCGGTCTACATCGTGTTAAAAAGTATGCTGACTCAAGTTTCTTAAAGTTCTTCATTAGCCGAGAACTTTTTGAAAGAAAACTTCCATTACGTTTTTTATCATCTCCTCCATCATAATCAAATTCCTCAATGTTTTTAACATTTGTCTCTAGTCTGACTCGTTTTCTAGTGCCTAGACATGCAGAATCCTCACTATCAACAACTGTCATTGATGGAAAACTTGATGCTGAACGATCATCACTCCCCAGTTCGGTACCAGTAATCTCTTTAAATCTAATTTGCTGCTTAGTCACTTCTTCGATATCTGAACATAGAAAAGAGATGGTATGTTGCAACTTTTCAGCAACTTCCTGTTTTCTCTGTTGAAGTAATAAAAGGAATTCTAACAGCAACTCCTTATCCTCTATCCTTTGTCTCAGCTCTATCGCTGCTTCACGTTTTTCCATATCATCTCTCTGTTCATTAAGGAACTCACTCTGCAACAATTCCCTGCAACACAAGTGAACAACTGGATTAAAAAATATGTAATGTTTCTAACAGGATTAAAATTGGACGCTAGTTGTATCCGTCTAGCAGATGGTGCAAAATTTGCTGATTCTTCATGCGAGTAAAAAGCCAATTAAAGCTTCAAATTCCCACGAATGCTTAAAGTGAGAAGTATTGAAAAACTCTTATCTAGGGTAGAAATTCCTAAAATATTTCAACTAGTCAGCAAATTCAATCCAATATTGTCAGATTGGTTTTTGCAAATGATTTATTACCTATCTTCCACCTTCAACAAAAATTATAAATATCAGATATAAAACTTCTTAAAAAACCTAATACAATCCAACACATCAAAATTAATGCAAAAGTTACCACATAAATTCTCGTGTTTATCCTATATTATTATTGAACCTATTTAATTAGTTTCTGGATTCATAGTGGCCTTTGCATCTGAGAGATAAGTAAATCACACACCTTAAAGCTTATACAATCTCAAGAATTTAATTAAAAACAGCTTATAAAGACTTAATTCAAAATAAATGGCCAATTAGCAGAATCAAAACATCTATGCATCTCATAAATTAAAGAACTGGAAAACAAAAAGGGATCAGAAAACCAGGCATGCAAATGGTAGGTAATTGGAATGGAACATATCACAAACAATTTGAAATTTGGTTAGGCAATATGAAAAAAGTAAAAACCAAGTGATGAAGATGATTACCCCAGTGTTGGCCGACTACTAGGGTCAGGATGCAGTAACCATAAGCAAAAGGAAGCTTCTTTGGGCCACTTTAGAAGTAACTGTGGAGGAAGGACCCTATGTCTAAGGCTAGACATGGTTCTACTCTTTTCTTCTCTTGAACTTAGAGAACAAAATAGCTGGTCACGTGTAAGATAATAGAATTAGAGTACATAAAAATGTAAATAGGGACTTTCAACACTATATCTTACATCCATTGTAACAACAAAGTGAAGAAGATAAATTATATCAAAGCACCCTATGAAAATATATGAACTTAAGAATTGTACAGCTTAAGTTATGAACCTCAAAAAGGAGAATCCCCAATCTATAAACATCTGATGCACAAGAACTAGATTCACCAGCAACCTCTTCAGGACTAGTATACCAACTCATCTCCATTAGCAGTATCTGTTTCATTGGAAATGATTGCTTCTTCCCTTCTACTTCGTCCTTCCTCCTATCTTTCATTTTATTTTCTTCGGTTTCTTCTATCAAAGATGCTCGAGCTGCATACACAGCACTCGACAGCATGCAACTAGAATCTGACCGAGCAGTGGTTGTTGAAGTCTTGACAGGCATAAAATCTTCATTTCCCAAACTCTGCTGAAGTATATCATGGGGACAGAGAGATGTTGGAGTTTTAACCTCACCACCTTGGTTGTTCACTCCTTCTCCTAAAGAATCCGAGCCAGTATCTGAACAAGATGCTGATTCAATAAACGAGATATGGTTGAAAGACGACATGACAAAGCAGGAAGGCCTCACATTGTGAACTACAACTCCTTGAGAATGCGCTACACTAACAATTTCTACTATTTGCCTAAATATGTGCAAGCATTCAAAGGCATCCACCGATCGCTCAGGTTTATCCAACCATTGCCTCAAGCTAATATCACCCCATTCTACAGCACCATAAAAGGGGTCAACCTCCACTTCATCCTCACATAACCCAGAAAACCCACCACCCAGGATTTTAGGCTGATCACCTGGAGCCAACAGAAACCTATCCCTTTCCTTTTTAAACCCCGAATCCTGCGATGCCTCACCCGAGAAGGGATTCCTTTCAGGACAATGAACCCTTTGGTTTCTATCTGAGACTCCAGAACTATTCAAAGCCCTGGAACTTCCAGAATTCTGAAAAGCAGACTCTGAAGAACCCTCCATCTTTATCCAGTTAGAGTTGCATGTAGGCCAAGTACAACAACACATCCAAAAACTACGATGCTCCTCCAACTTGTCTCACACTCTTGCACCTCCACCATCACCATTATAACTCAAACTCATTTCACTAGCTCCAGAAAAACCACAAAGACCCTATATCAATATCAAACCCTCAACCTTTTTCACACTGAACACGATCACAACTTCCTGTGAAGTCAGCACCATGATTTCACAAACACTTCTGTATCCAATCTATACCTTTAAAAACCAATATAAATTTAGATAAGTACAGCAAAAAGGCAAATTTATAACATGAACAGATTAAAAATTTCAGGAAACCAGTCCAAATCAAACCAAACCAAAAGAAAAAGAAACAGTATTTGTACAAAGGTTAAAGGTTTTTCAACTCCAACACTAGGGAAAACAAACACACAGACCATCCAAAAAAGCACCAAACTTTATCCAAATTGATCAAAATTTCCCACCACCCACCCACCAGAATTAGTAAATGGGCAGATAGAGAGAGACATGTCACAGAGACAGAGAGAGAGAGAAAGAGAGAAACAAGAAGTAGAAGAAGAAGAAGAAAAGAGAGAGAGAGAGAGAGAGAGAGAGAGAGAGAGAGAGGTGTACCAGTGGCACCATAAGAAGATCTCCTGTTTCTGCTAGGCCAACCTAACAGCAGAACCACACAACAAAAACTTCTAGTTGCACACAGGCACACTGAAGCTCCACAGCCTCATAAATTCCCAACATTTTTCTTATTACAATAAAATTAAAAAAATAAAAACAATAAAAAAATAAAAACAAAAGTACAGACCAAACAAAACCTCATAATATAAAAAACTAGTAATGGAATAAAGAAAATGTTTCAGAATTGACGAAGTAAAGTTTTGCCGTATTTTGCATACCTTTAACCTCTCATCTTAGCCTCACTTTGTTTGTTTCCACGTTGGGTATCTATTATCGTGTTACCCTTTTCAGCACTGTGGTGAGGGACCTGCACTTCGTTTCCTCTTCATCTTCGTTATCTTCCCGCATGCTTCATACGTGGCACTACCATGGCCTCAAGGCCTTCAATGACAGATATTATTATTTTTACTATTATAATTATCATAACTCGTGGGCCATCCTTGTAATTTCCAAAAAGTAATGCACACATATTATTTTATTAAGATTATGCAACCATGTACCACTATATTTTGCTATAATAATTCCTCTTTTCTAATCACATTTTTTTTTTATAAGATTTGAGTTATAGATTTCATTTGAAAAATCTATGTCCTCCTATTGAATAACGAGTTGAGATTGTTAACAATTATCAAAACACATTAACAAGTACCCCCCAACTTCTTATTATCATAATTGGAATTATATGAATATTTTAAATTTTATAAAATTTATTATTTATTTTCCAATACAAGTCTTTTCTTTTATATTAATTATAACTTTTCTTGTATAGATTTTTTTTTATTTACTCATTCCATAATAAATAGTTAAGGTTATAACAAAAACAAATCAATATAAAATCAATATTAAATAAAACAATAAATTAAGTAATTTTTTATGAATATCAAATTAAATGTGACAGAAGAAGAGACAGTGGTAAATATAATATGTGTATAAGATTTCGAAGCATGTGCCTATTATCCCAAATTGGAAAAATCGAATCGTCTTGGTGATTAGTGACGAGACATTAAGCTAATAAACAATTCATTTATAGTTAAACAAAGTGTAGTCTTATTTGGTGAAGGTAAGTAACATTGATCATAATAAAAAAAATACTAATTGAATAATTTAAATTGCCTAATTGATCCACAATTTCATATATATAAGTTTGATATATATTATTTAAAATGCCTTATAACTTATTTTTTTAAAATATAGAAAAAATAGTTTTTTATCTACATTCAAATTTACTGAAAAAACAACTATTGAAATGAATATAGAGTTAAAGATGAATGAAAAATCTAAGCTTTTTTGAAAAAAAAATATGAACTTGTTAATTATGAAATAGCTTATTCAAACGAATATACTTTTTTTATGATTATTTATATATTAAATCAGTCTATTTTTCCTATTAATGGTCAACGCGAACAAATTTTTAAATATAAAAACATATTAATTGTTTATTATTGAAAAAAAAAATCAATCTTAAAAAGATTGAGTTTTAATAATAAATTTGATTTGTAATATAACTATATATTTACTTAATTAATAATAAATTCACATATCATAAAAACTGAAAATATGCATATCATTAATTTAATAATAAATACACATATCATATAAAATAAAAATATAATATAATTATATACTTAATTAATTAATTAAATTAAAATAAATACATGTCAATTAATCTTGTGTTGCCGTGTCATCTAAGCACAGTGTGAACCCCAATAACGCCCTTAACTTATTGTAAGGTCTAAAAGGGTTAAAACTTATATAAAACAGAGGAAAAATGAAAAAAAAAAAAAAAAAAAGATAAATATCGATGACGTAAGTCATGGGGACACGACAATGACACCTTGTGTTAAGCTTTTTCAAGCCACTAGTGTGAGGCAAAACCATGGGTACATTACATTTTTGCAATGACGCTTCTAATTCATTTATTTAAATAGTAATTAGTCCTAAAAATAATATAAATTTAAAATTAATTAAATTATGTTTCTCTAATTTTTTTTTTTAAGTGTCACTTTTAAATTTTCTTCAAAATAATAAATCTATTTGAAATGATATATTTACTTATACACAAATATAACGTAAATAGATAAGTAACTATCCATCATTTTAAGCATAAATTTTAAGAATAATTATATAAAATAGATAATATAAGATATATTTTTATTCTATAAAACTAAAAATAATTTTAGAAAAATTAAATACATTTTAGAGAATAAAAAGTTGTATAAAAATCAAGAAATCACATAGTAGAGCTTGATTCACCATATTTTGAAAGTTGTTTAAGTATTTTCTCACAGAGGAATCATCATTGTATTTCAAATTTACAAGTTTCTTAATCAAGAATGTCTTGTACAAGGAAATTTTTAACTCAAATAACTCACTTAATTTCTTTCCTAAGTTGTAAGTCGAGTCTCACTAGACACATGATAATAAACATATTAGTTTATCTATTATCTAATCATATCAATAGTCTTTCTATTTAATTTCTTCTAATCTCATTCAGATTTATCTTCTAGTTTAATACCCTTCTTCTCAATAGGATCATATAGGTCTTTCAGTTTCAAAACAAAAGTCCAAACCTTTTTAAAATAGTCATCAATAAAAGTAACAAAATAAGTGTAACCACTAATTGATTTAGAATCCATAGAGCAAACATCAGTGTGAACTAAATCCAAGATATGTGGTCTTCTACATGAAGGATAACTGTGAAAAGAAACTCTATATTGTTTACCAATAAGACAATCAAAACAAGCTTCAAGAGATCTACCTTTAAGAGAAAGTAATCCTTGACTTACAAAAGTATTAAGATCCTTCTTACTCAAGTGATCAAGTCTTTTATGTCATAAGTCTACAAAATAATCTTCAATTGCATTTACTTGAGGTGTAGACAACTTTGTTGGTGTCCAATATAGAATATTTCGCTTCTCTCCTTTTGCTACCACCAATAGTGCACCTCCATTTTACATCACTAAAATAATTATGATAATTATCTTCATCAAGTACTTGTACTAAGATCAAACTGAGGCATATATTAGGGATGTGTTTGATATTCTTCAAATGCAACTTGCATCTGGTATTAATCTCAATCCAAATATCTCCAATGTCAACATCCTTGCTTACCCTTTGATTTCCCATTTTCAAATGCCCAAAATCTCTAGCAATGTAGGATGTGAAATATTCATGATGAGGTGTAACATGAAGTATTCCCAATTGATAGTAGGTGATGTTTTGGTTATTACATTAATGTCATTGCTTTTGTATTGTTACTTCTAGAGAAACTATAAGTTAAAGGAGGGGAAAGGATCAAAGCTTTTCGAGAGTGAGAAGATTGTGTATTCGTCAAGTTCATACCCTGCTTAGAGAGGGTACAAGAGGGATCAAATGGTATTCTTTTAGGTTGAGAAAATGTTTGAACTTGAGGACTTGCTTCGAACCTTTGTTGAAATGCTTGGAAAGAGCGGGCTTGGGACCGTGTACAAAGTTATGCTGGATGATGGGAACGTGGTTGTGATAAAGAGACTGAAGGACGCACAAATTATAGGAAAGATGGAGTTTGAGTAACACATGGAGGTGCTTGGAAGGTTAAGGCATCCCAATGTTGTTAGTTTGAGAGCTAACTATTTTGCACGTGAGGAGAAGTTGTTGGTCTATTATTACATGCCCAATGTACCTTATTCTAGCTCCTTCACGAGAACCAAGGACCCGGACGGACCCCACTAGACTGGACAACAAGGCTGAAGATAGCAACGGGAGTGGCGCGAGACGTGGCTTTCATTCATAACTCCTGCAAGCCCCTTAGACTTACCCACGATAATATCAATTCCACCAACGTCTTACTCGACAAGTAGGGCAACGCGCAAGTGTATAATTTTGGGCTCTCGATTTTTGCTGGGCCAGGCCCAATTGGTGGGAGATCCAACGGCTACCATGTGTCGAGGCTTCAGATGGTAGAAAACATACTCAAAAGCCTAACATGTACTCTTTTGGTGTGCTCCTGCTGGAGATGCTGATAGGGAAGTTCCCCTACATGGTTGACAGTGGTATTAATCCCTTATGTTAGTTGGACTTATGTCTCATTGGTGTTGTCTCTCTAGTAAATTCCCCTCGAAAGACCTAACAGTGGTATCAGAGCAGATGATTTCATGTGGTGACTGACTTGGCTGAGTACGATTAGTAATAGGTGAAAGATCATACATTATGGATCCTTATGTCAAAAGTCTTTTTGACAAAGATTTCAGACAAGCTAGTCCTGTTGAGTTAAACAAAGGTATAACTAAGGTTATTACTAGGTACTCATGATTAAGAAATGTTTCCGCTTAAGGGGGTGATATACAAATGTGAAATAAGAGAATAACACTTGAAAGGAGATTATTGAGAATTCAAGTGTGAGTTGAAGTCCCACATTAGGTAAAAATGAGAAAGTTTAATGACTTATAAGTGAGAAAGACTCATTACCTAATACCTTAATGTTTTGGCTTAAGGTAGTGTCATATTCTCTTATATGGTTATCTCATGTCCCATTTGTGAGAATTTTCCTGTTGTTAGCCCCCCTCAAAAGACCTAATAGTTTGATGAAAATAATATATTTTAAAAAGTTTATGATGTTTTGACACCCCAATCAAAAATATTTTAAACTTATATTTGACTTTTATTATATTATTGTAATAGTGTGTTATAAGGTTTGATTTAAATTTTTGTTTTAGAGAGTGTGAGTGTATTTGGGGTCAAAGGACATAAGAGAATAATCTATATGTTATAAAAAATTTCATATAGTATTATTTTTTAGTTAACATTAGATAACCGTTGTGGTTTTTCTCTAATTTGATAATTTCAAAGTTATATTTTTTGGTTGTTTTTATTTTATTTCTCTATTAATATAATAATTATCGATGATGTTTTTTCCTGAGATTTTTTTTCCAAACTATTTTATGTGGACTAGGTCCAATATAAATTTTAAATCAAACCAATATGGGATTTGAGTAAAAAAATTCCTTAATTTAAAAAAATGTCACTTGTTATTAATCCAACAATAAAAAATTAATATAATAAGCTTATTTTATACTAATAATTATTAAATATAAAATAAAAAATATAACAAAAATTAAAATAATAATTTTTAATTTTTTATTCTATGTACTTATTTTAAAAGGATTTTAGCAAGAGTATTAACGACTTTGTCCGTGACAACCTAAAAAAATTTCTAATATTGGATCACAACTTTTAATATTGATCCATAATTTATATTTTCGTAACAAAAATGAAAATAACAATCGAAATCAAAATCACATTGCCTTAACTAAGATAATGAAGATAACTAAAAGAAAAGAAGTTTGGTAACAAAATAAGAAAATCAACAAAGACATCAATAAGATACGAATAAAAGACGAAGAAAAGTGAGAATGAAACAGAACATCGTATAACATAATGTTGACTGAAATGACGTATTAGAACAAATTAAATAAAACCTACAACAACGATCTTATGAACAATTGTTCTCTTATATATCTATAACTATTTTTGTTTTGAGAATCATAATTATAAATATAATATACAATGATAATTCTAAAAAAGCAATTATTTCGTATAAAAACGAAAATAAATATTTTGATTAATATCATATTATATTACGTAAATACGTAAATACGTTATAATTATTTTAGAATAACCGTAGAAAAGTTTAATTTAATTAAAAAAATTGTCATCACTTTATCAATAGTGATAATATCTTAATAACTTATCGTGGAAAAACGTGAACATATTTTACATCAATAATAATAATACTATAATAATAATTGTTGAACGTCTACCTTGTAAAATAGCTATTGTTAAAAAAAATTATTTTAGAGTTTTTATCTTGTAAATAATGAATGTTCATTCATATCTTCTACTTTTGCCCAATAAATTTCTTATAAATGACATACGTTGCATACATGGGTAAGATAGATTTTAAATTTTTAAAGTGACGCTGGGAAATATTTTTTCAAACATTGAAAATACTTTTAAATAATATTTCTAAATTCATCATATTTATTATATAACAAAAATATTTGTAATATTTATTATATAACATTTTTAATATTTTTAAAATATTATAATAAAAAATATATAATTAGAATCACTTTATCTTAAAGTGATATTAAACTAGATTGACTTGAAATATTTAGAGTCTAGATCCGTGGTAATTAATATATATTATTTTTATTTATTTATTAATGTATCGACAAAATTATAAATCATTATTAAAGTCAATCTATATGCTTGAATTATTATTCGTTAAAAAAATTTAATCTATCACGATTTTATTTTTAAGATTATCTCAATAAATTAAAAAAGAAGTCTAATTAGATGATGAAGAGAATATATATATATATATATATATATATATATATATATATATATATATATATATATATATATATATATATAATATGTTTGATTTGAATTTGTAAACTAATCACATTGCAACACTTTATTTTTAATAATTGTATTGACTAATTTGGTACTCATTTAATGGGATCATTTTCTATTTTTTAATAGGAAACTTTTAGGTTCAAAAATTATATTTAAGACACTCTTTTTGTCATATGATGGCCGAAAAAAAAAACGTATTAATATGACAAAAAAACGTATTAAAAAAAAAGTGATTATTTACCATAAAAACTAGCCGAATAAAATATAAGTGATTGTTTTACTCGTAAAAAATGCGTGCATGATGCTCTCTTTTTTTATCATCAAAATGGAAAAATATTATAAATCAAAATAATCTTTGATTAATCAGGTGTAGGATATGATTATCCTGGAAGTTTTTAAAGGTTTAATTTGGATAGCTAAGATAAATATAATTAGTTACTAAAAAAATATTATATATCTAATTCAATTTTATAAAATTAATTTCTAGATTATAATTATTTTTATTTATAAATGTAATTTTACAGTAATTTTTCTAATATGTTTATGATAGACTTTGATATATTTTAAAAAGTAAATTTTAAATTTAATTCAATTTCTCATAAAGAATGACTTGAGTTTTATCTAATTATGATTTAGTAGAAGAAAAAGACATTAACAAGTAAGCAATAATAAATAAACAAAGTAAATTCCATCCAATTAGTTAATATAGCCTTTTTAAATCTATATATTATATGACAAATTTGGATTATTATTTTTTGTTTACATTGGGATCAATCAAGAGTGTGTGGTTTGGTTCCCCACATAAAGATGCCATTGGATAAGGTCTCTCGACTTATTTGAATGGGTTGTCTTATTAATTTGGTACTTTTCTTGTCTTTTCATTTTTTGCAACAAGTATTTCAAGCCTATAATTATGGAATAAAAAAAAGTATATATTAATTTGTCATTTATTATATAACTGAAATATTTTTTATATAACTATCGATTATAGTTCTTGATAAATTCTTGTCATTTATTATATAACTGAAATATTTTTTTATACTAATGAATATTATAATAATAATTTACCATAAATATACATAAAAATATTTTATTAAAGTTCAATAATTAGTATTAAAACAGTTACAATTTATTACATAAAATATCATGATAAGAGGTTTATAAATAAAATCATTCTATTTTTTATAAATCATCTTGTTGTCAACTCAGATATTTTTTTATTATCTTTTTTTTATTCAGATATTTCTATATTACTTTTTTTTTTACTCTCACTTAAGTATCTTTCACCTTTTTTTTTAGTCATCAACATAACTTGGTTCAATAAATCTCAAAGAGATCATTGTCTAGATCGATTTTGTCCAAGTTCATTAATTAACTTGAGAAAGTTATTCATCATTATAATTTATTGATAAAAACAACTATAAAATAGTAACAGAATGTATTCTCCCTTACATAAAACAAATTTATTCTAATAATGATTATTATTAGATTTCTTAGTTCTACAAAATTTTACTTTTGAGATATACATTTTCATCATTGGAAGGGTTAAAGATCTTATATTAACTAATTATGTAATTAAAATATGGTATAATAAGTTCATATAGATTTTCTTATAAAAATTAGAGAAAAAAACTTCTTTATAAGATAAAATTAATTTACGTATAAATTAATTTGTGAGACTTAATTTTTTTAAATCTAATTATTAATAAATATATTATAAACTAATCTAAATTGATTAAAAAACTAATTTTATTATTTTATTTTTCTTGTACAAAACTACATACTCATTTTTTTACTTTAGTTGAGATTTAGGTTGAAAGTCAAAGTTTAAGATTAGAAACATTTATTAAAAACCACTATTTTCAACTAACTGTAGATTGATGAAAACAGAAATGACATAGGAAGAATAGAGGAAAAGGAGTAATATAGTAACTATTGTGTAAAACTAAAAGTAATGTTTCATGAATGTATGTGTGAAAGAAAGAAGGATGTAAAAAATGGCTTAATTTGATGCATTGATATGAAAAGTTTGAGAGATCGGTGATATTAAATTAGAACAATTTGTAGTTAAAATTAAATTAAACTTATTTTAGTCCAATATGTTAATCTCATGATTTACATCTGCTAACATGTTTTATCAATAATAGTTACTTTTTAAATAAAAATAAAAATAATATTATTTTATTAATATATATAATTAATTTAATAAAAACCAAAGTACATGACTTTAGTTCCTAACATTAAATTTACAAAGATTAAAATATCTTTTTTAGAATTTAAAGTTTTAAAGATTAAACCTTTTTTTTTACTATGAAGGAGAAAGAAAAGTTTTTCAATTATTCGAATATGATTAGATGAGTAATAATTATTGTTCAGGCAATAGAATACTCCACTAAGTCAAAAAATCTCAACTAGTGATTGAGTGATTGAGTCCATGAAGAGAATTAAACCTATTTGTTGACCGAGTCCTTTAGAAAATAATATATACAACTTAAAATTCAAAGAGTTAGGCATTGTTTGGTTTACTGATTGGACTTTCATACTTATGTTTATAAACATAATTTGGTCATGTATTTGGTTCTATCCCACTTTTATATATATATATATATATATATATATATATATATATATATATATATATATATATAT